GACTATGGATGTAATGCTGTACAGCAACTCTTCAGAGCGCGTCTGTTGTGCCTGACCTATAATACTCCTATCAGGTGGAGAGAGAGGAGAGGAGCGGCGCTTTTCCAGTATTCACTCTCTTTCTCTGCTTTAAACGGGTTTCCTCCTTGGAAGAGAGCCCTTCTCCACAGCCCTTTATCTAGCTGACTCCTCCTCAGCCTTCAAAACTCAGCTCACACATCAGAGCCTTAAAGAAGCTCTTTTCCACCTGCCCTGAGCCGACCCAGAGGCCCCTCCTGTACAAGACCTTCCTAGAGGTGCTTCCCATGAACAGGCTCTGGCGCCTTTGGGAGTGCTCTGTTTATTGCAAGGGTGACCTGAGCAAATACAGCAAACTTTTCTTCAGCACCAGTGTGCCAGGTGCTGTGGAAGTGACGGCAGACTTACAACACACCGCCCGCCCACAGGAGCTAGTTGAAACATGAGCGCGGGGGGGAAATCTCAAGACAGTGGCTCATCACAGCACGGAATATTATGTATGGAGACCAGACATGTTCTAAAAGCCCTAGGGTGGTTGCAGGGGGAGCAGGGAAGAGTTGTGGAGGATGTGTGAGCCTGCTCCCATCCAGGTGGGTGGGACTGGGGAGAGCATAAGAAGGAGCAAGGCAGCCCGTGGGGTGGGGGAGGTGCAGTGTGAAATGAAGAGTGGGGCGGTAGATAAAGCGACCAGAGCAGAGGGTCTGCTGGGAAGCAGTGGGAGCCAAGGGGGACAGCACAGAGCTTCCAGAAGAGAACTTCTGGGTTATGTATGAGTGCACGCCACCTCCCCAGATCCCACCAGAAGATGGTGGTGCTCCCACCCGCCATGTTTTTGAAGATGTGCTCATGTGTCTTGCTAATTTTGAGCTCTGGACGATCAGGGTGATCTGGCTGCATATGTAGATTGTCACCGTCTAGACCCGTGAAAGGTAAACAGAGGGAAATGGGGTGATGGAAGAACGTCAGAGTGATGGGCACAGCGTGCAAAGGATCGGGCTTGGAGTGGCAGACTTTGAAGGTGGAGGAAAGTCAGGGATTTAGCTCAGTGGCACTGTACCAGCCTTGCAAGAACAAGGTCCTGAGTTTGAGCCCCCGTGTGCCCCCCAAAAAAAAGTGGAGGAAAGAGGCCACCAGCCAACGTATGGGGGGGTTTGCTCTCTGGGAGCAGGAAAAGGCGGGGAAATAGATTTCCCCCTACAGCCTCCAGGAAGAACACAGCTCTGACAACATCTTGATTTTTAGCCCAGCAAGCCCATTTTCGGACTCCTGACCTATGCAACTGTAGGGTAATAAATGTATATTGTTCAAGTCACTAAATCAGAGGTAGCATGTTTACAATGTTTACAACAGCAGTTGGAAGCTAACATCGGTGGGACCTCCGTTTCACACGCGTGTGCACCCACATGGCACTGGCTCCAGCTATGGAGGGGCCTACTCACTCAATGCCTGTTTAATGAAATTACATAATGAGTTCCTAGGGTCTCAATATGCCTCCCTGACAACAAAAACCAAGTCCCAGCTGTCTCCATGGGCTCCAAGTCAGCTTGTTCTTTAGCTCAGCCCTTGCTTTTGCAAATATAAACAACACCAGTGCAAACATCTTCCATTTTCGAAGCAATTTGCTTTTCAAGGATAATGCCTTGCACCGGTCTTATTTTCCCCAGCATCTGCACTCACTTCCACTCAATACAAGTAGCCCACGCCCACCTCGCTCTCAGCCTCCGGCACCTTAAACTTGCTCCTGACCCAATATCAACTGTGTAAATTCTGGCCACTCCCAGAAGAAGCAGGGCCGCCCCCAAGGAGCAGAAATCCTGGCCATTGTGCCAATTCAAGCAGGAACAATTTGCCACGGCTGCAAGGAATATTCCTTAGGGCCAATGCCAGTCCAGGAGGAAAGGACCTGACACATCCCTGGCTTATTTTATCAGCAGCTGCAGTGAGAGAGGTTTTTATTTAAAGAATTATAAGAGATGATCTGCCTGTGTTTCGGAAGCTGGTAATTTTCCAGTGTTTCCAAATAGGTAGCCTGGGAATTGTCACTGACCCAGAGGGAAAAGCTGGTTTATTTAAAGGTCTAATTTTTTTTTTTCTTTTTGGCAATATAGCAGTGGGGGGTTTTTTGGGTTTGTTTTTTTTTGTTGTTGTTGGAGTTTTGGGGTTTTGTTTGGTTTCAGTTCTGTTTTTAATGAGTCCCTTGTTGACTGTGCTAATAAGAGCATCCTACAAGCAAGAACACGATCAGTAATGATCCCACCTGCTTCCAGTCTACAGGACAGAGACAGACCTAAGGCTTTAGCTTCCCTTAGGACTCTTCCTGTTTTCAAGAAAGAGCAAGAAAATATGTAACAGCTTTGCTTGCCTCTGCTTCCTCACTCAAAAAAAAAAGTCTCATGCTTTGGTATGGGGGATGCTGTTCAAGCCGGGAGAGGTGGGCAGATGGGAGCCGGGGCTACAGGGCTCTTGGAAGAGTCTGGAAGCACTGTCCCAGAGGCTTCTGGGAGACAGGCCATCACTGTTCCAGGCTGTATAGTCTTTGGAGTCTGGTGACCTTTCCCTTTCCTCTTCTCTTTCCTCCCTCTTCTCCCCTCTGAGTCTGATGCTTCCATGGGAAATAGGGCCAATAAAGTCTAGCCCTTAAGACAGAGAAACATTTTTCTGCACCCAGACAGTCTGGGACTCTGACAGGAATTCTGACAGGCCTAAAGGTCACTGTTTGCCTGCATATGTTTGATCTAAAGAACTGAAAAAGCCGTTGGATTTTGGAGATCTTCACTGTAGTCCTGGCTCTTTCGAACATCCCTCTGTGACTTGGGGCCTGGGCCTCAGACTTTGGCACTGTGAAATGGCAGAACAATCCTGCTTCCCAGGGAGTATGCACTGCCTGTGCCTCAGGGAAAAAGAGCCACAAATATTTATAAATCTGTCTCTGAGGTGGCAGCTCAAACAGCTGACAGAGCAAAGCCTGACCCAGTCCAGGCCCCAGGCCCCAGACCCTCCACGAGGCCTGCTTTCTCCCCCAGCCTCCCACCCCAACAGGGACAGGGCAGGGCAGGCCTCCCACCTCCCGGTGGGGCCCCAGGTGACTCCTCTGCCCATGAATTTCCTTTGGCACTTTGAGACTCCCTCCCGAGGCTTCATAAGACCGCAGCAGGAAATGAAGAACATATTTTTAAATCAGAAGGGGAAGCGATGTCTTTGTGTCAGATAAGTGGCCTGGATCCAGGGCTGAGAGACTGTGGTGCATTTCTCCTCGCAGACAGCAGGTGCTCTTCGAGATGTGGTTATGGCAACAAAATAAATGATGGATAATTGCTTTTGTGACAACTTGCCAATTAAATTAGACTCAGCAGAATAACATAATGACAATTTGTTATGCTCCGGTGGGCACTAACATACCAATCATAATTAAATGCTATGACTGAAATAGAATAGTGCTCAACGCAGGAATATATAACCCCAATTCCCTCTCCGTGAAACATTATAGGTTGAGGCTTGATTTTAATTTCGGGAAGATAATGGCATTAGCGCATATCCGAGTGGGTTTGTGGAGAGGCCTGTGGTGAGAGGAGATGAGCCCGAGAGAAGAGGAAACCTAAAGAGGAAACGCCCTGAGGGGTGAACAGCAAGGTTGTGGGAAGAGCTGAGGAGCCCTGTTGTGGAAACAGAGCTTGCTGGGATGCGGCTGAGCCTGGTTTTCTCCTCAGAGCTTGGGAGGAAGAGGAGGAGCCTTGGCCAACGGCCTCCACAGTAGCAGGGACTGTGCTGTGGCAGTTCTAAGGCCCCGTGTCTCTGCATGATAAAAAGGAGCTTAAGTCTACTTTTGCCAGGCTTATGCTGAGTCCTCTTCACCTAGAGAGCATTTTCTCATTACAACCCTTACCTCAAGTGAGGAACCAGCAGCTTCAAAGACGTGGGGCATAATCACAGCTGCTCAGTGCAAGCCCAGAGTGTCTGCCTCAGAACCACTTCCTCTGCGTTTCTACCAAGCCCTTCCCTCCACACCCTTGGTGGCTGCATGAAGCGGTTATGTCAGTGAACATCTGGGAAGGAAACGTGGTGTGGAAGCACAGTAGAGGTAGCAAAAGAAACAAGTAAAAGTGAAATGCCTGCTAGGTTTGCAGACATTCCTCCTTCCTTAACCCCACCCTCCCAGCTCACACCTGACTGGGCCAGGAGAGAACAGTTGGTCCAAGGAGGGCTAATCAAAATTTTCCTCTGGAAACTATGACTGAGCTGCTAGGCCAATCCATAAAAGAGTCATAAATGTGCATTGATTTATAAGAGCTTCTCTATATTCTAATGCACACACAGTGAGCAAAGCACATAAAGGTTACAAGTCAACTGTCAAAAACTTCACTGGATATTCTAAGTATCGATTGTGTATTCAAACTTTAATATCTTCCCTGATATATTAATCTCAAATGAGTCCACAAGAGACCAGAGGTGAGTCCTTTTAAACCAACTAACAAAGCCGGGCGTGGTAGTGCACGCCTGTCTGGGAGGCTGAGGCAGGAGGATCGCTGTGAGTTGGAGACCAGCCTGGACTTCATAGTGAGTTCCAGGTCAGTCTCAACTACATAGTGAGACCCTGTCTCAAAAAAAAAAAAAAAAAAAAAGAAAGAAAGAAAGAAAGACAAACCAACTAACAATCATTCTGTTTTCTGTTTTTAGAGTTTAGAAAGGGGTTCTATTCAGATACAAGGCATCATTGAGGTTTCTTACTTTTTCTCTTAACTGAGGGCTGGGGATGTAGCTCAATGGTAGAGCACTTGCCTAGAATGACTGAGGCCTTCAGTTCAGTCCCCCGCACCACAAACCAAATCATCTAATACCAATGCATTTAAAACAAAAACTCACTAGGGCCGGGGATTTAGCTCAGTGGTTCGGTGGCCTGCCTCGCAAGCAAAAGGACCTGAGTTTGATCCCCGGTACCACAAAAAAAAGAAAAGAAAGAAAGAAATTTTAAAACAAAAACTCACCCTTCTCAGTCCCAGCCTCTGTGATGACCACCGACATCAACTTGGTGTGTATCTCCTGAGCCTTTCTTCTTCTGCCTGCATCGCCTTGATACGTGAAGGCAGATCTGGTGTTCTAAGGGTAAAATAAGAAGGTATTTGAGGTTTACTTCAGAATAAACCATGGTAGGAAAAGCAAAAAGTGGGATGGAAAAAGAATACTCAAAAGTTGAAAGTTATTACAACCAAGAGATGAGAATTTAGAGGTTCATTACACTATACTTTTTTTTTTCTTTTCTTTTTGGTTCTGGGGGAGTCAAACTCATGGCCTCATGCATGCTAGGCAACTGCTCTACATTCTGGCCCAATACCTTTTATTTTTACTTTTACATGTTTAAATCTTTCTATAATAATGTTTAAACACTGTTTTACTCATATTAACTTTAAAAAATGGACTTTTGAGTTATATATTATACATGAATTTGTTTTTTTTGAACTAGTACCTTGACTGGGGGTGTAGCTCAGGAGTAGGGTGCTTGCTTAACATGTGTAAGTTCCTGGATTCAGTCCCAGCACTGTGAGAAATAAATACATAAAGAGGTTGTTATATCTCTTCTCTCTTGAAAAAAGAATTATGCATAATAAAATCCTAAAAGTACTAATTTCTGGAACAAAAAGTAAATGTATTTTTTGTTTGTTTGTTTTGGTTTTGGAGGGTTTTTGTTTTTGGTCTTTTTTTTCTGGTTTTTGAGATGGGGTCTTGCTACGTAGCTCAGGCTAGCCTTGAACTCACTATTAGCCCAGGCTGGCTTTGAACTCATGGCAATCCTCCTATCTCAGCTTCCACTCAACAATAAATGTGTTTTAAATTTGTCTGCAATTGCCAAGTTTCTTTCAAAAATATTACAGGATATGTGTGTATATATGTGTGTGTGTGTGTGTGTGTGTATTATTATATGATGTTTTAAAAATCTGTATCTTTCCAAACTCTGAGTATTAGCAATCTCTTTGATTTTTGTCAATTTTGATGAGGAAAGTGTATCTTATTTTATTTTTATTTATGTTGTTTTAATGATTGCTAAGATTGAATATGGTTTCATGGCTTATATACCACAAGATGTCCTTTTTCTTTGATGAGTTGCTAGTTTATCATAGTGGCTCATTTATTGATAATATTTCTTTTTAATTACTTGTATATGACAGATGTTAACTTTCTATCAAGTATGTATGTTTAAAATATTTTCTTTCGCTCTTTAACTTTTAATTGTGGTATTTTTGTTTTTGTTGTTTTGAGACAGTGTCTTGCTATGTAGTTCAGACTGACCTTGAACTTACTATGTAGCAGGCTGGCCTCAAATTTATGGCAATCCTCCTGCCTGAGCCTCCCGAGTTCTGGGTTTATACATGTGCACCATCACACCTGGCTTGATTGTGATATTTTCCACCATACATAAATTGTCATTGTTTGTTTATGCAGTCAGAATTGTCATTTTTTTTTCCTTATGGGTTTTGTGTCATGCTCAAAGAGGTCCTAATATTTTTATAGTTTTAATTTTAATTTTTAGATCCTCAATATATATGGGATATATTTGGGGTATGGTGCCATACAGAAAACCAGATTTAACTTTCCCTGAAATTTCACAACCTATTCCTAATAGTGTTTATGTAATAGTTCATCCTTAACTCACTGATGTAAGCTACTATTTTTGTCATATACTTAGTACCCAAACACATGGGTTTGATTTTTTTCCTAAAGTCCCTGTTCTACTCCCCTAATACAATTGCGTACTTACATCACACGGCTTTAATTGTTATTGCCTTGTAACACATTTAACAGCTAATCGATAACATCACATCTTTATATTTCAGTTTTATTGCCAATTCTCATATATTTATTCTTCCAGTTGAACTTTAATGATACATTGTTAAGCTAAACTAAAAACTGCAACAGGATCTGATTAGATTTGCTTTGATTTTATATATTAGGTTGGAAAGGATGGTCCAGGAGTCTTTGGATGAAAAAGGAGAAACAAAAATGCTCAAAGATATCCATACATGCCCCGAATTCCATGGCTGGAATCCAACATGCTCAGGGACGGGTCCAGGAATGAGCCTGCACCGTGCCCACAGCCCATTCTGCTCAGCCTGCTCGGTATTTAGCTCCTGAGTTTTCTTTCTGTTGGGTTCCAACTCTGATTCCAATTAGCCAGTAAGCTGTTCTCTGTCCTTCCAGACACCTCTTGCTCTATGATGCATTCATTCCTCTATGCATCATATGCAGGTCGACCTTGCATTTCCAGTCTGATCCCACCCAATGAAGCCAACCAGTAGGGTCAGAGTTGGACAATGTCATTGATGTCATGGTAACAGGGAAACTTGGGACGCTTATGATGCAGACTTTCCCCTCTTTTGACTTTACTTCTATAACACAGAAAATGAGGAAATGACTATGGCTTAGATAAATCATCACAGATTAATTGGTAGGTTAGGAAACCAGTTTTGATTTTTTTTTTTTTTTTTAGCAGTAATATCAGGTAATACCTTTCCCTCGCATTCATCCTACCCTGATCCCTGCAAAGAAGTAAGAAAGAAATATTCTAGGACTGTGTTGTCCAAGAGTCCACCAATTCCAGGTCTCACAGTGACCAGAGAGTTTATTGGGGTCAGCCTGAATTTTCTACCAATTCCCGATATTCAGTTTCCACAGGTGTTTGACACGGGCAGGACGAGGGTGAACCAAGAGCCAAATCTGCACTCCTGCGACCCTGAAAGTGAGTGACACCTTGCCCCTGTGCTCCTGTGTCTCACTTGCCTTACCTTCGGCCCAGCCCTCACACTGCAACCTGGGCAATGGAGGCCATGGTGTCTCACAGCGATTATGCCTCTTTGGGAATCACCAGCCACAGGGAACTGCCCTTACCCAAATTATACTTTTTCTAGAAGCAGCCTATGAACAAGGACTGGCTGAGGTACTAACTGCACAGCCTCACAGCTCGGAGAGCTGTGGAAGGGCTCAGAGAGCCCTATGTACAGCCTCATGCCCCACCAAACAGAGAGCACGATGCTTGGTAGGCCCAAGTGGCTTCTGGCAGCCTCACAGTGCACATTTCAGTATATGACCTAGTCCATTTACTGAAAACACAGAAAGCTGCACCTATGACCGAGACTCAGAGCAGGAAAGGTCTCCACAGCAGGGTGAGGCTGTGAAACAGCAGCCCTGTGTCTCGAGCTGCTGGACTCGGCAGGCTCTATGGAACCACAGCTATCTGGAGAAGGAAAAGGCACCACTTGGAGTAACCAGCAAACGCCAGTAGAATAACACTATAGGTTCCTGGGGTCTTAAAGCAAGGCACACAGTCTTCGGGAAATACTATATGCCAGTGGCAAAGCCAGCCCAGAAGGCTCTTGGGCCATGGTAGCACGAAGCTTCTAATGGGCACCATGACCTGATGACTGGAGATGCCCGTTGTAAACTGGTTCTTCCGGTTACCAGACAGGGAGATCTTATGGCAGGGAAAGACTATAATGAGACCAAGCCTCATATTAGAAACGAGACAGGTGAGGCTTCTTTTCAGTGGCTGCAGCCCCTGAGCAGAAAGGAGCCTGTCTTTGATCAAAGGAGTGGTCCGGCTGCTCACTCAACAAAGGAAAGGGTTGCTTTGTATTGACTTTTGGGCTGGGCTGATCTGGTAACTTTCCATTAGTCACAGGCAGAGTTTCAAAAGATGCTTATCCTCTTGTGCACAAACATCCCCGCCTTATACTTGGGCTAAGGGCTGAGAACTTATTCAGGAACTGCTGAGTTATTCTTCCAGCTACCATCCTCACCTTTCTTTTTTAAAATTTTTTTTCAGGGCTTTTGTACTGAGCCAAATCCCCCACCCTTTTTATGTTTATTTTGAGAAGGGATCTCTCTAAATTTCTAAATTGCACAAGCTGGGCTTGAACTTGTAATCCTCCTGCCTCAATCTCTCAGAATGCTGGGATCACAGGTGTGTGCCACCACATCTGGCACAGGATGGGCATCTGATTGATGTAACGCTACTGACCTTATGATTGGGCTGTAGGCCCTTCATTGCTTGAGGTCTTGAGGAAACACAGGGATGGAGTAGATGAAACACACCTCCACAACAGGTAACAGGCCAAGCGAACCCTGTATCATCAGACGAAACATTTTTTTTTTTTAATGATCAACATGTCTACATGGAGAGCCAAGTAGAATCTGCCCCAAGAATTAAGGCAGCAAAAGGAACAGATACAATATAAAAACAGAGATGTCAAGGCTTTTATGCCATTTTGGTCATATACCAGGCATTTATAGGCTCAAGTCCTTTAGCAAAAAATTCCTGCAAAATAAGATTGGACTATTATCGTAACCCACAGAGAAGCTTGTGTGTTGCTCATATAACCTCCAAAATCAATGATCTTTAAGTTAAATAAGAGCTAGTGATGTTAGAAGGCTTATTATAGTTTACTTTTTTTTTTCTCAGTAACGCTTTTGCTCTGAACAGGTAAATTGTGAGGCCCAGAGTTGATTTGCCTTCTGTCCCCTTGCTGTGGTTCCTGTCTCAGGTCCAGTCCTCTAAGTCCCACAGGCAGGTAATCCCAGCAGAAGTCCCTCACGAGATGGAAGAGGTGCATTTGGGTCAGCACAGGGAAGCCACGTAAACAGGTAGCCCAACTCCAGTGTTACATAGCAGGGTCATCACAGCTCACACCGATGGCTCCATGTGGGTCCCCTGTGGCCATGACAGAAGAAAAAGGCCCAGCTATGTGCACAGATGGGTCAGCTCAGTGCATCCACGCAAGCCAGGCCTGCTGACGCTCGGGGCAGGCAGGGTCCAGTGTGCCTGGCATGCAGATGGTCCTCTGGGGTGCTTCTTGACCTTCTTGTGTGCAGTTTAATGATGACTGGGCAAGGACCACAGCCAAGGCTCACAGAGAACTAGTATCCCCAGGAAGGGCAGTCCGGGTCATCCTCCAAGCAAGCCTCTTAGACCAGCAATGATGTCCTTGGAGAGCAAGAAAGACCTGGGGCAAGTGGTGCACAGGGGCGCAATGAACTAGAGGCTTGAGATCATGCAGCGTCGGGGACTGAACTCTGTCCCATAACGCAGGAAATCAAACCAATGTCAGTCCTGGCCATACCATCCGGACTGAGGCCAATTCACAGTGAGAAGTCAGTGGATCTGGGCAGCTGGAAGGCTGGTCCAGGTGGAAACTGTCCACTGCATGGCCATCTGTCAGCCACTGGAGATTCCTTCCTCGATGGAAAGAAACTGCTTTACCCAGACTACCGCCTCTCCTAGTGGGTGGTGCAGCTGGTCAGTGACTAGCTGATGAAGCTGGGCGTGGTTGGCACACACCTGTAATCCCAGCACTTTAGAAGGCTGAGGCAGAAGGATGTCAAGTTTGAGTCCTGCCTGGACAATTTAGGAAGACCCTGTCTCAAAATAAAAAAAATAATAATAATTTTAAAGGATCAGGGATGTAGCTCAGTGCAGAGGCCCAGGATTCAATCCCTAGATAGATGGATAGATAGATAGCAGACAGATGGATGATGGCTAGCTGGCTGAGGGGGGATGCAAAAGTCCAGAACTCATAGTTTAGGACAGCTCTGCAAGGCTGTCCCAGCTCCTGAGCGCCGTGTGGCATCAGCTGAGGTCTCCAAGCTCATTAACCGGCGGCCTCTCCTTCTGTCTTTCTTAGTCCCCTGCTCCCTGGACACATCTCCCAAGAGCACTCTCATTCATGTTCTGCCGTCGGCTCTCAACTCTGCAACTCTGTTTCCAGGGAGCCCAGCCTCAGGACTCACTATCAGGGACCCAAATGATGCTCACTCTGTCCCTTGGCTCAAGGGGTCCCAAGAGCTGCACAGCAGTCCGCTCACTCAGCAGTTGAGCCTTGCAGGGACCTTCGGGTTGGCTCTTTCCAACCTGTCCCACACTCGGCTTCTTCCTCTCCTGTGCCCTTCATCCCCATTCGGAGCCACATGAGAGGGGAGAATTTTAAACAATAATAGTAAAGCCTTCAGGAAGACAAGGACAAACCTGGGGACCTCTGCTTGGTAACAGGACCAAGCTTGTCCTTCTAAAATGTTGGGGAAGGGCTATTAGCATTTATGAGGTCCATAAGGGATTCAGTGTAGTATAAAAGTATTTTTAGGAAACGAGAGAAAAATGTAGAAAACCGGCTGACTGATTGACAGACAACCCAATTTTTAATCTGGACACCTTTAATAAATTCTGCAATGCAGGATTATCCATCTTATCTCACCTGGATTTCTACCCTTCACAAGGAGATGGCCTTGATTTCAGAGGCTAGAATAAGTGGGTTCTTTATCAAAAGTCTCCCTGTAACTTCCCAAGCCCAGTAGCTCTGAGTCTGTCCCCAGGAGCCAAATTTGATCAACTTGCCACAGTAAGAGTTTTTTTCTGACTAGGTACACGCAGGAAATCAGCTGCTTTTTATGAGGCCTTTCTGGATTTAAATGTAAGTGAAATGCAAATGCCAATTTCATGCACATAAAGTCATGCCAGCTGTTGTTCCAAGAGCTGAAGTCTCAATGCCAGGTCTCCTGTGCTGACAGAGTGCTACGTTTTGAACATCCAGGAGCTCATCTGCTCCTTGAAGCTGGGACAGGGCTACATCATCCTCATGTAGCAGAGGAGCAAACCAAGGCCTGCAGAAGTTAAGGAACTTGCCCAAGATTCCAAAGTGTAGAGTCACAGCTGGGCCCCAGTCTGCCTGATGTAGGGCCCATATTCGTAACTACAATACTTTGCTCCAGGATCCAAAGGATTTCCAGCTGTGTCTTCTTTTTTGGTACCAGGAATCGAATCCAGGTCTTTGAGCTTGTGAGGCAGGTGGTGGAACCACTGAGCTAAATCCCCGGCCCTCCCACTCCTTTTTGTAGGACGAGGGTACAATATATAGTTTATTATATGTTTTTAAGGGTTTGTTTTTTTTTGTTTTTTTTTTTTTTTAGGTTTTTTTTTTTTTTTTTTTTTTTTTTTTTTTGGTACCAGGGGTTACACTCAGGACCTTGCGCTTGCAAGGCAGGTGGCAGTACCACTGAGCTAAATCCCCTACCCATGAGAATTTTTACTGAGTTTGTTTAAAGACATTTCTCCCATATTAATAATATACTTCAAATTATAATTTTTCAAAGAGTCACTAACCAGTCAAAAGGAAATCCTAAGTTTGACTTTCTTTGTTGGCAAGTAACATATTGAGGACAGGACAACCATTAGTGCAGTTTGCCTACTATTGACCCCAGTGAGATTTCCATGCTGATTTCACTGCCCAGAACTATTTCTTCTCTAGGGAGGTAAGATGGGAGGTACAGCACATACTGTGCTGTATATGTGTTCTATCATTACTTTTAAAGATTTTTTTTTTCTACCTGGGCACTCAGAGGCTAAGGCAGGATTGCAAGTTGAAGCCCAACCTGAGCAGTTTAGTGAATTAGCAAGACTTGTCTCAAAATATAAAATAAAAAAGAAGCTGGGAATGTAGCTCAGTATGAAGGCCCTAAATTCAATCCCAAGTACACAAAAAAAGAGAAGGAGAAGGAGAAAAGGAAAGGAAAGAAGAAAGAAAGAAAGGAAAGGAAAGGAAAGGAAAGGAAAGGAAAGGAAAGGAAAGGAAAGGAAAGGAAAGGATAGAGGAAGGAAAGGAAGTTAGTTTCCTGTTCTCTAAAGATATTTTCAAGCTTATATTTGCTAAACATAATAAGCAAGAAGTCATTTATTGTCAGTAGCCAGTGGTTTCAAGGTCTAAAGTCTTTATAGATTTGCTTTTACTCTGTCCTCACTGATTCTTACTCATGGAGTTCACTTTCCTTGTGTGCCTGGTTATGACGATAATAGTCCCATATTCTTAAAATTGTTTATAGGAATATGAGGCTTGATGTAAAAGTATCCCTGCCCATACAAGATCTCTTTCCATACTGTGCTGGACCAAACCAATCTGGGGCTACTGATGCCAAGCCCAAGGCCTGAGAGTTCCTGGCCTGGGCAACCTGGGTGACTGGACTCGCCTGGTCCTCCTGATGACAAGTCCTCCTCTCCTGTCCCTGCCTTCTCTCCCAGCTGGCAGCCGTTCCCCGGGGTTCCTGCCAAGACCAGTCCATACCCTCAAAGCACAGCGACCTCTGCAATTCACTCATCTCTTGTTCCTGTTCTCCCATCCCCTTTACCCAGGTATTTCTTACTGTCATGTCAGCATATCATATAACTGGAGAATTCAAAAAAGTATTTTATGCCACTTTTAAGGGAGAGTTGTGTCCAGATAGTGTAGCCTGCCATTGCTAGAAGTCTCTTCCTCCGAGCTTCTCAACAAATATCACTTCAATCACACTTGAGACCCCAAACACATAGGCACGGAGGGCTACCTAAAGCTTGATTTATGGGTCCTAAAACAAAGTAATTAACTTTGCAACAAATACATCTTTAACTGTGCTTACTGAGATCTGTGGTTCACCCAAGCGGTGCTTTAGGGTCCTTGAGGGAACGGGGGCCTTGGAGTGGGAAGGACAGCAGCTGAGAATCACCCACAACGTCAGGTGCGTGGTTCTGCCAGTAAACAACCGTGCAGCAGACAAGGCCAGCACCTGGCTGGTTTTCTCATGTGCAAGATGAGAAGAAGAAGGACGTTTGCCTCGTACGTTGTCACACGGGGCAGATGAGGTTAAATGATACCCAGAAAGCCCTCAGCACGACGTCAGGCACCTGTTAAGCGTTCAAAAACATCACTACCCCTACGATGGCCATGTCCTCGGTCACACCGCTCACAGTTCTGGTCCGTGAGCGGAGAACCACAACCTCGGTTAAGGATGCCTGGGATAAATCACTCCAGTCCGATGGCGCAGTTGCTGAGGACATCATTCTGCAGGCCTGAAACGCAGGCCTCCAGGACTTTATCTCCCCTCACTCATTCTGTGACCTACAAATTGAAAGGAGGACGATACTTCTGACTGAAGAGGGGCCTGGAGGTCCCCCTACACCATAAACCGTCCCCCTGTAGTGCACGCGGAGTTCTGCTGTTGCGATAAAGCAGAAGCTGTTTGAAAATAAGCAAAAATTCTCTCAGGAAGCCCAATTATATTTTTACATCAAGAATCAAAATGCTGGTGCTGCAGACCTCAGCCTA